AGGTCCTTTTTTAAAGCAACAGAAAGAGGAGCAATGTCATTGGTAAAGATTAGATCTAAAATGTGATTATCTCTTGTTGGAGAGCGCACCAGTTGGGACCAATTAGAAAAATTGACAATATCTTGAAAGGGCTGGAATCTGAGTGGGCAGCTATTGGAAATCCAGTCAATTTCAGGAAGGTTAAATAAAGTCTCAATTTCATTTTGCCCTAATAACATATGCTATGATCTTTCAGGCTTTCTTGGTGTCCATTTATGTATTTCTAACAAATATGCCGTTCATTCTATACTCCGGAGATTCCGGCGTATATTTCACTGTTATCTAAATTCAGAGAAATGATATGACTGTTGAAATTTTGCATATATCCTGCATGGCGTTTATTTATTCTCGAGGGTTTTTGTTATTGCTGAAGTCACTCACTCGGATCGGCAGACGTACGAGCTCATTTTCATAAACAAATACCAATAAATATATAAAATGTGTTAATGTGTGCCCATGGGGTTACTTTCATAGCAAGTAAGCATAAACTTTCAAGTGAATTTTTTGAACAAGTAGACCGACTGTGCACAGCATTTAGTTCATGCTTATAGAATAGGTAGTCAGATATTGAAAAACTGTAATCGAGCGGCGAAAAAAACTCCTTCCTTTGGTAAAAGCAAAATAAATGTGATGTGATAAGCTTTCAGGGAGAAAAAAACCGTCGCTCATGGAAGGGTAAATACGGGGTTCGGACAGGACTGGTCTGCATATGATAATGTATAGAGGACTCGAGACAGATATCAAGACAGCATTCCTAAACAGAATGAGGCTGTCAGCATTAAAGTAGCAAGATGAGATGATGCCAGATACTATCGGTCACAGTCCGCCTAGAGTCCAGCCGAGGAGAGGACAGTTAAGATGTAAGCGGGGAGATGCAACCATGACACTTCCTTGCCGACCGAGCAAACCACTAACAAATGATGAAAACAGAGGATTCCGCGCGTGATCAATACCCGACCGTTTGGGATCCAAATCAGGAGATGACAGCAAAAACCGCGAAAATCACGGCTGTAAGGAGAGAGTAATAACAGTAGATTTAGCAGCCAATTAAATACAGGGGCTTGTAAAAGTATAAGAGAGAGTTCCACCTGAAGAAAGAAGGCATTAACTATCTACCATTAAATCAGATGAGGGCCCTTCTCAAATTCAAGAAGTCGAGTGCTCCAGAATGAAACCGTCAATAGCGCCTTTATGCTTTCCGGTGTAAGGTGCTTGCGTAAATCCGATTTGAATACCGATAACTTAGGCGATGTGACCAACTTTTAAGAAAATCTTTGCCGATTGGACGAGTGGTCCCGCAGATGGCTCTTGTCCTTCAATTTGAACAAATGTACTATAAGGCGCCCAGGAAATCAGACCCCTAGTATGCGGCAATATCATGTGAACGGAATGTCACTTCGAGAAGCAGAAACGCAGAAAGATCTCGGAGTCTTAGTTGCTGACAGCCTACAGCCTTCTACACAATGTTGTAAGGCAGCCAAGGCCGCAACTTCAATGCTATGTGCCATCAACGGCATTTGCAGTTTTCGCTGAAGACTCCTTCACCAAAATCTTCGACACGTTTGTAAGGCCGCATTTTGAATATGCGACTCAGGCCTGGAGTCCATGGATGCAGCAGGACTACAATCTGCTCGAAAGGGTGCAGAGACTAGCAACAAAATTAATAAGAGGTCAAAGTGCACTGCTATACGAGATCGGCCTAACTAACCTTAATCTCTATCCTCTGAGTTATAGACAACTGTGCGGAGACTAGATACAAACTTTCCGTATCGTGTGTGGCTTGGACTGCACCCTTCGGTGCGACAATAGACTACTAAGCGAGTTAGAAAAGAAAAAGGTATGTTGATAGTTAACTTCGGAAGGAGAAGAAGAAGAAGAAGAAGAAGAAGAAGAAGAAGAAGAAGAAGAAGAAGAAGACGAAGAAGAAGAAGAAGAAGAAGAAGAAGAAGAAGAAGAAGAAGGAGAAGAAGAAGAAGAAGAAGAAGAAGAAGAAGGAGGAGGAGGAGGAGGAGGAGGAGGAGGAGGAGGAGGAAGAGGAGGAGAAGGAGGAGGAGGGAACCTAAAAGGAAGGTAGAGGCTGTAGCGGCTTAGCGGTGATGCTATATTTTCAGTGCGCCACAAGTTTAGGCGATATTTCAAGTTTTAAGAAGTGGGATGCCAGTTGGAGAAGATTATTTATTTATTATGTACAGAATAGTAAAGGGAAGTTGACAACCCGACGAGGATGCTTCCGGCGCCGCAAAAGCGACGAGCCGTGAGTTGTCGAAGGTCGCCGCTGCAAACGTATCATGGCAGGTTGTTTACGCAGTGGCCTAGACTGTGTCCGCCCGTGTAACTAATCAGCGAGAGGAGTTGCGTTGACTGATTCCAAGTCCACGCGAGGGTAATGACAAACCTCGCATGGTGAAGTCAGAGAATCGACCAGATGCGTGATACAGATAGTGAACCGCAACGAGACAAATCGAATCCAGGCAGATGTGCGCGCCTAAGCACGTTGTCGCTATGGCGTATGTGCAAGCCTTAACGAGGGACGCGATCTTGCCATTATGTTCGCCCACAAGGCTAGTGGGGGAGGGTAGGCAGCTATAAGAATTAAAAAGTGAAAAACCCGGTTTAGGATAGAAGGCGAAGGGGTTAGGCTGACTTATCTGAATGCAGTTCGCCTTAAGTGGCGGGAACCCGGAACTAGATTGGTATATTAATGACTGGGAGCGATTCACGTACGAACTATTTACGGGATAGCTAGTATGGCTTTGGTAAGTAGCCGATATGCGAGAAGAATCATTCGGTGGTATGATTGGAACTACGCGGTTTATTTATGAGTTTGGCCGTAAAGGCCCAGTAGATCTAAGATATTGCGGCATACCACTGAATGGAATCATAAAACCTTTCTGCTGGGTTAAATATGAATTTAGCTTTTGGACCATATCGTTCTGAGGGCATGCCAAGGCGACTCTAGTGGAGAACCCGGTGGACCCTGTTGAAGTGAAGAAGCTATTGGTCTAGGTAACTTAGACAAATTTTCGTGCGTTCAAGGAGAGCTATCAGGCGAATTGGGAACATAAACTGGGGCTGCCTATGATTTGGAGCCAGGCGAAGGCGTTAAGTGGCTTGAGTAGGCGGTAGGCGAAGTACTAAGACGGAGTGCGTAAGCGAATTTTGCAGGAGTACGATTACCCGAATTCTAGTGGTTACCTGCCATATGACCGAATTCGTGAGCATCTGACTGAGCGGACGATGAATTATGTGAGAATAGGAAACTAATTCTACGTTCTGTGAGGTTAAGATCATGATGAAGGAAAACTTCGCGCTTTCCAGGCACGCAGAAACGCAATCTGGGAAGGAAAGGATTGAATCAAACCAAATTCGTAAAAATAACTTTAAAAAACTGGCGGATTTTTGCTACCGCAATACAGGCGTTTGCCATCCGCACAAGAAATCATCCGCAACATCAAGTGGCCGCGGATATCGAGGAAAATTTTTCAAAAAGAAAGTATAAGCTCTTTTTTACCTACCACTTTATTCAGTGGCAACCAGGTGAACTAGTGAGTCGAGGCTTTTGCATTCCGGGCAGGGAAAATTTTAGATGTTCCCGATTAACAATTTTTCCAGAATTGAGAACATAGTGCCGAACTTCAGCCTAAAATCGTTGTAACTGTTAACTGCAGACAGATCAAGCTGCCTATCAATAATAACGGGTGACCAATGACTATTAATGCTTAGTGACTAACACTCAATTAGCCATGCCTAGGTTCAGGGGGACGAAAGCCTTCGCCGACCTGAGACGTTTACTCCTATCTAATTTTGATGTAAGTTGCAAGTATTTAAACTTCTGACCGTTCTTACGGCAGAATTTCAGCGAGGGGTTAGTGCTGTAAAGAAAATGTACACGGTAATATACAGTTGGAATGTACAAAGTTCGAATGGCAAAATGCGACTAGTGGTCAACAGGATTAGTGTAGCAAAACTCAAACGGGAAATGGCAACCAGTAATTCAAAAGAGCAGGCCCGCATTTAAAGCAATTTCTTCAACACAAAAGCTAAAAGTTTTTGTATTTCTTAAAAAAATCCCTTTAAATAATATTTAACATTTATCTTTTAATCTGAAGACGGTAGCTGGACCATGCAGCGTTTGAATTTGTTGATTCTGGACCTAGCGGAAAAAGCCGCAGGCTGGATTCTGAATTGTTTGTGGAGTGCTCTTCTATATTCATTCAGGTAGTTTAGAACTAACTGGATAGAATATCAAGATTTAAGTGTAATGCATCCAGGGAATATTACGGAGGCAACCCATTAGTTGAAAGGCCAAGATGAGAATTGTTCTACAATAGTGAATTCGAGATCTTTAGGCGAGTAAATTTGTGAATGCGTTACACCCACTGAAAATACAGCTGGGGGCCAAACGCAACAAAAGCAAAGCAGAGTTAAAGAGAACCGAAAAATATTGCTGCTACCTGACAAACAAATTAATCAGTTGGTCCCAGACGTCAACCATCCTGTTTTTGCGAGGAATTTTAAGTTAATTTCAGAAGGAGCCATTTTCTATCTGATTATTTAGCTTGTCGTAAATAAGGTGTAAATTCTCAGGAAGTGGCACGCATATAAGACGGTGTGATAGGCCATGAACTTAACGTTATATCTTGATGTGGGTTTACCGATATTAAGGCCAAAAAACTGCACTCCAAATTTTATTTCAGCCTAGGTATGTTATGGTAGACAATAAAAATATTCATTGCAGATCCATTCATTCAATAAGATTACACTAATAATCTGCCTAATAATCAGGATTAGAATTCTAAAACGGTTCGACATTGAACTTTGATGACATTCGGACTCCACATTCATCTCTTCGGGCGGAAAGATTTTCCCCATTTTGAAAGATGACATGACGTTGAAGCAACCAAAATGAGTGCTGCGCGAGACCATAGGTAGATCACAGAACGGGGTTTGTCTGGAGGCCGATTGCAATGGACTTGAAAATAGGTAACCATTTCAAGAATCATTGGCTCCCTTGCTTTCTGTCAGGCTCAACATCTATAGCGGGGTGCTTTACATCTAATAATTTGTTGATCGGGGTCTGCATCCCTGCTCCGCGCCCCTATTCAAAGGGAGTTTTTTTAACGTGGACATTTACCATCCTCCCCGCCATTTTCATAGTGATCAGGTCTGCAAATAGTGTCAAATGATTAGTTGGTTCTTTCGTTAGGTGCTTCCTCCTTTTTAATCTGCCCAGTGTCTATGACGAAACTCGAACAAGACATTCAATCTTGCAGATGAGCCACTAATATTATATTCCGTCTTAGTGTTTATCAGCTAGCCTGCAAATATGTTGCTTAAGCAATCTATGACACTGAAAATGCAAGGGTGAGGAGACTGGATGGCGACATGGTCAATGTAAGCAGGACTCTAAATTCTTGACAACATCCGAGGGCAACTGAGAGCACTCAGACACAAGAAGATGATGAGCAGAAAGAGATGTGATGTCATATATCAACAGCTTGCCATTTTTGGAGAGCGCACTAAGTATACCTAGTGGCCCACATACCCGTGTCGTGCACCAGTCGATAAGGCAGTATTCATAATCGCAATCGACAAACTACCTTCTGGTTGATATGGATTTATCCGAGTCAATCTAAGGGCGTTTATAAAGCGAACTCCTTCCAGTCCCGTCCCAAAATTCATTTGCGCGAGAGATCGCTGTTATTCCCTTGTTTTTCCTGGTAAATAAAGAATATCGATTGAAGTTTGATTTTTTATGGACAACATGGACATACATGCTGTTGTTGAGAGTTGCTTAATGATTATAATAGCAATATTCGTTGCAATTTTTCAGTCTGAGTTTAAGGGATAAAGGAAACTCGTCGGGGCAGGGGTACGATAGGGAGTGTCCTGGGAAGTAAGGCAACGTTCTACATCTTAGGCACGAGATTCGTTTCGAGTGTGAACTTCACTGAACACCCAGACTCCTCCATAATTTTTCGCTGTCTTTCTGAGATATTTTTGAGGCAACTGTAGAGTTCGTTCGACTACAATGAACTAATGTTAGAATCATGTTTAAAATTCCTTTATCTCTCTGTGTGGTCTGATCTTCTTATCTCACGGAATCTTGACCATCCGAATCAGGAACGAACGGGTAAAAAGATGTATAAGGATATAGCCTGACGACTACTTGCAGGTTGGTCGACTGCTTTTCCGCTTTCAGAGGTCAGTACTTCCTAAAAGCATGCGAACCCGGTATATTTGCCCTTTTCGCGATTCTGCTAAAGTAGACTTGACAGTCTCACCTGAATACGAAGTCCGTCAACTTAAAATTGTTCGGAAATGGTATCAGTGTTCAGTTCAGTTTATTGTGGTAAATAGGCGTCAGCCTTTGGGTACCCTATTTGCAACGTCGGATTGAATGCGTTGTACAGAGAAAGTAGCTGTGCTGAGAAATTCCAGTGGTATGAGTCTCAGGAGATGAGCATAATCTTTCACCGCTATTGCTCATCTCACGACACAAATATGTCAGGATTCTTTTTAAAGCTTTGTATCGAAAATAGGTGAAAAGGTCATTTCATGGTTTGACCACTCCACTAGAGAACGAGTAATTCCGTACATTCATTCTTGCCCGCTGAATGTGCAGGTGGTAGCGAATTCGAAAAAGTCCTTAAAGGACAGGCTGCAGTCCAATCTCTTCAGAGTGAGGAATGCTTACAAGAGACCTCTGGACAGTTGCCCTTAACTCAAAGTAAAGAAGTTCACATTGGTCATTTACTTTAGTTTATTTCAGTAGCAACGGAAAAGGAGGCACTTAGTTATTCAACAACCAGTACCGCAAGTCTTTAGGGGACGGCACAGGACTGTGAATGTATAGTCGTTGACCTAGTTCATGAAAGCTGTCGAGATTTTCGATTAATTACTAATCGCTCGCAAATCGACACCAACGAATTGACCGACTATCTATGTTAGCAAGTAACAACCATAAGGAAATTAAAGACACAGGAGAAGTGCTAGTGGTAACGTTACCTTGTTCACAAAAACTAGATGGCTTCTGATAACGGGCTCCATTATTTTACATGAG